AAATTTTACAGTGAATTGAGAAGTACTCCTTGGCAGGTCATAAAAGATATAGATAATGTTGATGTTGCGTGGGATATGTGGTTGACTCTATTCAATAATATAATCAACAAGCACATACCAGTATGTAAAAAGCGGATAAGAAAAAAGGCATGTCCATGGATATCTGACGAGATTGTTAAGCTTATGACGGAACGTGATAAAGTTCTCAAAGCTGCTAAAGCTAACAAAAGTGATGATCTTTGGGACACCTACAAATATCTAAAGAATACAGTTATTCATCTCATGAGGAAAAGAAAAAGAGAATATAATGCAGACCAGATCTCGCAAAATCATAACAATAGTAAGCAAATGTGGAGATGTTTGAGAAACCTTGTGCCTAAGTCATTACCTATATCTCCCAATAGCATAAATGTTGATGGTGCTAATGTGTCAGACAATGCAAATATTGCTGAAGCTTTTAATGACTTTTTCATTTCTAATGCTACTAAGATTACAAAGGACCTGCGAAGGAATAAGTCTCAACTGAGAGTAGACGAGGACAATAATATTGGTCCAACTCATTCGCAATTTAATTTGAATTTGATTACTGAGGATTTTGTATTGAAACAGATTGATAATCTGAGTATAGATAAAGCAACTGGTGAAGATCACATCAGCTGTAAACTTTTAAAGATGACGAAGAATGTTATCGCAGAGTCTCTTTGTGATATCATTAACAAATCCCTGTCTACAGGAGTTGTTCCACGTGAATGGAAAAAGGCTCGGGTAGTACCAATATTCAAATCTGGAGATATTTCTTCTTTGAATAATTACCGGCCCATTTCGATATTACCTATCGTGAGTAAAATTATAGAAAGGGCCGTCCACCAACAACTCAGTGAATTCTTGGACGTGAATAAATTATTACACCCTAATCAGTCTGGTTTTAGACCTAAACATTCAACAGCTACTGCCCTTGCAAAACTTGTAAATCAATGGTCGTTGAATATTGATAACAAAGAAATTTCTGGAGTTGCCTTCATAGATCTTCGTAAGGCTTTTGATACTGTTGACCATGAGCTACTTCTACATAAACTAGCTTGTATAGGTTGTAGTAATAGGACTATTTATTGGTTCAAATCATATTTAGGGGATCGACAACAAGTGACCCAATTCAAAGGAGCCAAGTCGCATCCATCAACCATCAAATTAGGTGTGCCACAAGGTTCAATTCTTGGTCCCCTTTTATTTTCAATATATGTTAATAGTCTACCTGAATGTACTCCTGAAGGTATCATAGATATGTATGCTGACGATACGACACTTACCGTCAGTGCAAATGATGCAACTGTTGTGGAAGAAAAATTAACTGTTGCGTTAAACAGAGTCATGGCATGGATTAAGGAAAATCGTCTTGTTCTTAACACTGAAAAAACTTGTGTCATGTTAATAGGCTCTCCTGCTAATCTCAAGAAAATTGAATCTTTCACCATTTCATTAAACGGCAATTTGATCAAAAGAGTTCAATTCACCAAATGCCTAGGACTTTTGATAGATGAAGAATTGAAATGGTCTAAACAAATCGAAAACGTAAGTAAACTTACCCAGAAAAACATTAGCATGATAAAGAGAGCAAAGAGTTTTTTGCCTCAAAAATCCTTAAAGTTACTTTATAACAGTCTAGTGTTGCCACGATTAGATTACTGCTCTGTTGTATGGTCGAACCGATTTCATTCTCATACAACTAAGCTGCAAAAAATTCAAAAGAGGGCCGCAAGAATAATATTGAACAAGACATATGACACACCGTCGGCTGATTTGTTCACAAGTCTTAAATGGATGACACTAGACAAGCGGTTTGAGTTAAGTCGCGTTATGATGATATATAAATGCGTTCATAACTTAGCACCCTCTTACCTTCAGGTAGGCTTAATCAATCCTAATGATGTACATGAGCATCATACAAGGCAAATAGACAGTGGATGTTTACGTGTGCCTAGATTTCACACTGATTGTTATAAGTGTAGCCCAATTGTTTCTTCCATATTTGAATGGAATAAGCTAGATAATTCGTTGAGAACGGCTTCCTCTGTCAATTCATTTAAGAGATTGTTTAAACAAAGTTGTAATTTGTGAATGGCTCAGCCGTACATACACTACGTGCATGTTCTGTAATATTTACATGTCTTATTCACATAATTGCGACTTAATTAATATTTTCCTATTGACATTACTGCTTACTAGGTTAATGATATATGTTAATTTTGCAAACGAGTATTATTTTTGTAACTGTTCTGTATAAATGTTATAAACGATGTAAATATGTTCATTCAGGGCCCCATGGAAGACCACTACTTGCTGGTGAATGGGCTACCCTGTCAAAAGATCAGAAATAAATAAATAAATAAATAAATAAGAGATAATTAACTTACAATCGTAGCGCCCTTTAGTTATGATGACGCCATTCGGTAAGACATGCATGTACATTGCCACTCTTTCGCCCCTTCCCCCACGGGGGGGGGGGGGGATACTCCCCTAATACGTTATACGGGAGAGTGCCACTCTAATCGGTTACTTTTTGCAAACAATCCATAAACATTGGTATGATTTTGAGCTGCAAAATCCATAAAAATGACCCCTATTTTTTGGATCATGGCCTTAAACATGGATATCTTACCCATAATCTCGCAAAATGAAAATTACAGATGTAAAATCCCGCAAAAAATTTAAGGTCCCTATTTATTAATCCCTAAGAGAAGTCTGGCACATTTTAACTGAGCTCTTTGTTTTAAAATACAGAAATGTGACGTTTATTACGTTCTACGTCATATCTGAACGAGGCCTTACGAGTGGAGATGTGCAATAATAAGTGCAGGCTTGAAATCCAGTAACCAGGAGTGATGATAACATTTTAACAAAAAACACAGTTATACGCATTTAACTTATATTGGGCAATTTTCTTGTCACCGTCATTCTAGCAGAAAGATAAAAGTAATACAAAGAAAATCCTTTAAAAATCAATGTTTAGCACCAGATAAAATGCTCTCCTCCCTGGTCATCCCTCTTCCGCCGTATTACTTCATGAAGTAGTTCCTGAGTGCGAAGGCGTCATTCCCCAGGATGAAGAAAGGCATATCTTGGTGGTCATCAGGGCTTGGAGTCTGAGGGCAGGGTGGGGCGGGGGAGTCTAAGAGCTTCCTTTTCAAGGCCGGTGAATAGCTCAGAGTCGCCAAATATCTGAGCATCGGATATGTGTTCTTTTCTACCAAGCTCGATCCACACAAACTTGTAATCTGCATCTACCAGAGCCAAGAGTGGTATCGAATTATAATTATAATTATTATAATATTTGCATTTATATAGCGCTCATTACAGTAAATGTATCACAGCGCTTTACATATCATATACATATATAAGAATATCAATAACAAAATAACTTATGAACTGATTACATTTCCTGATTACGCATAAAAAATAAAAAAAATTGTCTTACAAAATAACTTATAAACTACATGTAATATTACAGGTACAGATTAAGTATTAAATAGAAATGTCTTAAGGGACTTCTGGAACTGAGAAAGGGATGACGACGTCCGTACGTTCTGGGGGAGGTTGTTCCATAGGCGTGGTGCAGCAGAAGAGAAGGATTTGTCACCTGTACATGTATTGGTCCTTGGAACTGCGAGTAGTGCTGGGTCATTGCTTGATCGGAGCCCTGGTCTTGCTGTTTGATGCTTACGTAAGAGTTTCGTGAGGTAGTTGGGAGCAGAATTATTAAGACATTTGTATGTAATAGTCAGAATTTTGTATGTTATGCGCTTTTCAACGGGGAGCCAATGAAGTTGTTGTAGGAAAGGTGTTACATGGTCGTACTTCTTGGCCCGAAAAACCAACTTTGCAGCACGGTTCTGAGCTCGCTGCAGACGCTTCACATTTAATGCAGAAGTGCCACAGAGAAGGGAGTTTGCGTAGTCGATCCTAGACGAGACGAGCGCTCTCACAGCATGCTCACATGCAGACTGGTCCAGGAAGGGCCTGATGCGTGCTATGTTGGACAAATGAAAGTGAAGCGAACTGGATAGAGATGACACGTGGCGATTCAACTTCAGATTAGCGTCAATCTCAACACCCAAACTTCGGATAGAGGTTGAAGGCTCAATAACTGTACCACCAATGGTCAGAACAATCCCTGATATGAGATGTCGATAGCGTGGACTAGCAACAATAAGGAAATCCGTTTTTTCAGAGTTCAGTTTCAACATGTTGCTCTTCATCCATTGTTGCAGATTGATGATACACGCAGATAATGACTCAAGAGCAGCTGTCATTGCATGCCTGTCCTTTGGATCGACAGAGATGTACAGTTGCACGTCATCTGCATAGATGTGGTGTTGTATCCCTGCATGATGCTTGATGATATCAGCTACAGGATGAGTGTATAAACTGAAAAGTTGAGGACCAACCACTGAGCCTTGTGGAACTCCGAATCTCAGAGGTTTTTGTTCTGATAGCTCATTCACAACCTTCATCCTGAAGCTTCTGTCTGACAGGTACGAGTCAAACCACGATCTCACCATTCCTGAGATGCCAAAAAGCTTGTCCATACGCTGTAGAAGTATTGTGTGGTCAACACAGTCAAACGCAGCAGACAGGTCCAGGAATACGACAAAGGTAACCAACCTGTTGTCCAATGCTCCCAGAATGTCATTTTGTACTTTTAGAAGAGCAGTCTCTGTACTGTGCCAACGGCGGTAAGCTGACTGGTTCTCAACGTTCAAATCATGTTCGTCCATGTGGTCCGAGAGTTGAGACAATGCAGCCTTTTCAATGATTTTTGATAGAAAAGGGACGTTTGAGACAGGCCTGTAGTTCTTCAGATCTTCCCTATCAAGATTGCTCTTCTTGATCAGTGGAACTACCACAGCTTCCTTCAGTGCTGAGGGGAAGACACCGCTACTCAATGATGTGTGTACAATTGATGCAATATATGGAAGAAAAGTGTTAATGTTCTCTTTTAAAAGTCACGTTGGTAGTGCATCTAGCGAGCATGTCTTATTTGGTGAAGAACGTATTAATTTGCAGACCGTCTCAAGAGTCACAGTGTCGAAATCTGACAGTTCGGTGATAGGAACAGAGGCATCCGTGATCATCCCATCATCATTACAGGTGTCCGTAACTCCTGCATTACCTGTCATAAGACTTGCTCTAATCTTCTCTACCTTCTGTTCAAAGAAAGTAGCAAACCTCTCTGGTAGTGATGTAGTAGAGCTATCAACCGGTAGAGCCATCGGTGACCTGTTCAAAAGCGTATTCAGAACATGGAACACATTCTTTACGTCTGCACTGCTTAACTGTTCTGTATAGTACTTTGATTTCTCTCTTTCAATGAGCTTGCAGACCGCATGAACCTGGGAGAGATATTGCTGGCGGCTCTCGACTGTATGCGACTTTCTCCAGCGCCTTTCAACTTTACGCCGAAGACGTCTTGCCTGATGAATTTCATCTGTATACCACGGAGGACGAGAGCGAAAACGATGGACACGCTTAGTCGCAGGGCAATGCTGGTCAAGTACTTCCAAAACAGTTTCATTGTAAAAGGTCACCTGGTCATCAACATTCCCATCAAAAGGAAAGTTGTGAAAAGCCTCAGTTATGCTGGCGATGAAGGAATCCTTGTCTAGATCACGAAAGTTTCGACATAAAGATGTTGCCGGACACTGTCTAGGCCTGGCCACATCAATAATGCAGCTAAGGACATAGTGATCTGAATACAGCTTATCAACGGCTTCACAGTCCACCACAAGTGAATCATCTATCCTCGATATTATGAGGTCAAGTGTGTGACCCAGCTTGTGCGTAGGAGTGGTGATGTGTTGCTGAAGTCCGGCCTCCTCTATGATTTCAATGAAACATGCCGCATCAGGTTTGTCAGGTGTATCTATGTGTACATTGAAGTCACCGACAATAAGAAGCTTCCAAGTATGTGAAGTCAGCTCATTTACCAGTTCTTCAAACTCCAGAAGAAAATCCTGAGTTTTGAGACGATTCCTTGCTGAGGGTGGAGGTCTGTAGGTGGCCACGTAGCATACTAACCTTGATGGATCTGTGACAGCAGCAAGTTCATAAGTGTCACGGGGAGATAAGATGTTAACAGTTGACAGCTTCAATGTTGTTTTGTAGATTACTGCAATTCCCCCATGAGCATCGTTCCTGCCTCGTGCCACATTCAAGAACGTAAAACCTGCCGGTGTGCACTCGTTGATTACAACAGGATCTTCAGCTCTCAACCATGTTTCAGTTAGGAACATGATATCAACATTATTATCAATGATGTGGTCAAACAAAAGACTGGTCTTGTTCCTAACAGAATTGCAATTCCATAAATGAACATTTAGATTACCACTCAGGTCATGTGGCACAGTCAAAATGTCTCTCGGATTCCTCAAACTGTCAATCGGCTTCTCATGCATTCCGTGATTTATTTCGTGATTTGTCCGTGATGGAGCAAGAACTGGTATGCGACGTTGATCTTTCACGAAGGCTCGACGTCCACGTCTAGTTGGTTTTACACTGCATATATCATATTGTTGTAGTTTGTGGTACACATCTAAAGCTACTGGGCAGTGCCCACAAGATGCCCCAATAGACAAAAGGTCCTCTCTCGAGTAGGAAAGATTAGGCATTGTTGCAAGGAAGTACCAAAGTACAAGAACAATACTAATCCTCACCACGCAGGCCATTACTGTTCATTCGTGTCCATATGTGCATTCAAGTAGATACAACATAATAGTTCACTGAAGAGACAATGCACTGTACTCCTGCCATGTTAGAGCCAAGTAGAAATTGACAGAAAATCCATAAAGTTATCTTTAATAGTATCAACTAAAAATGACGATATACGAACTTCAAACTTGTCTTGTGGGTCCTACATAACTTCACAAATAAACTGGCATAGAAAAAAAGAGCAGCAGAATGCGTTAATTCAAGCAATTCAAACAAAAACTGGAGAGCTCTTAAGCGGTGCAACCTGTGGCGCCACGCAAGCTCTATACAACAGCCCTTGTTGTAGTGAAAGAGAAGAATACACCTGATCAAGAACAAGACTTCAAACAGGATAGTTTAAGTTGAAACAAGAAAAATAGCTTTATTCTAAGTAAGACTCTTAAACCGAAACCATAGCTGCCACTAGCCTTTCCCAAAGTCCCTGCATCTTTTCTCTTACTTCTGTACATTACATTGTAAACCCTTATGGTAGTACAGGCTGCCAGTGTGGGTTGGCGTCTTGATAGCAATGTGTTTGCCATGCAGGGCCCCGATGGCATGGGGGTGTTACATCTCTGCTCACACTGTTTAGCTACGGATGTCCATGCTTCAGGGGTCACAGGTAGGCAAGGGACCGATACTTGTCTCGAATGGCAAGGTGCCTTAGTGTTACTGCCAGTTTCAGTCCAGGTGAGAGGGGTTGCCTGAAACTGGTGCGTTCGATCTCGATTGCTAAAGCCAGCCTCTTCAAGACTTCATCGAAGAGCTGTTGTGTTAACCTTGGATAGTTTTGTAAAGCTATTGGATCCTCTAGCCTCAAGTGGGTGTCTAGGAGGCTGGAGAACTGGCTAGTTGTTTTCTTCTCTCCTCTGTGAGACATGTTCGAACCCAGGTCTGCCTAACAGCAGCTCTTGTGGCCCTTTGTGTTTGGGGTTGTGGCTGGTCTGGCTGCTGCTGGTCTTCTTCCTCTCTGGGGGTAACATATAAAGCATACGGTAATACAACAAATGTCACGTTTTCATCATCCTCAACTCCTGGCACCATCAATGGTTGTGGTTTGTAGTGTTCACTTTGTAGAAGTTCAAGAAACAATGAAGTCCATGGTTAGTCGGCCTGTATATATATATATCCGTAGGGGTTCAATCGTAGCTCAAATCCTAATTACTTTGGACCCTTATCGTGAAAGATATCGTGACCGCAATCGTATCATGTCGCAAAAGAGCGCATTGGTTCGTGTTCAACGTATCGGAAGGTATTCGAACGTATCTGCACGTAACCGATCGTCTCAAATCGGAGACCCCGATCGTGACGATCGCGTCACAGCGAAACCCAATCGTGGACTTAATCGGGCCAATCCTATTTGAACGTATATGAGCGTATCTGAACGGGAGACCAGATCGCGTCCCCTGAAAATGATATGACCAATAGTGACCATATCGCAACCAAGCGCACAAAATCGTACCAGAACGTATCGACTCGCGTCACCTCGTATTCAAACATGGCGATTCAAAGAAGTTTCACGATCAGCTACGAATGGCCAATCGTGAGGTAAGTAACGGATCGCACGACAGGGCGAACTCCCCATAAAGTATATACCCTTATTATTAAAACATGGGTGTTTCCCCCTCATATTGACCAATTACCTCTGAAAGTTATGCTATGGAAAAATTTCAAAGTATTCATGTTTTACTTTTCGTGACAGCAATCGGAGATGATAGCCGTTTTCCTTAAAAATACACTATCATTTCATGTATTGAATTAATTGGTATGTATTCGACTTCGATGCATGTCGGTGGTATTCAGATGCAATGAAGTCGCATTTCGATTTTATTGAGTGAAATTCAGTTGAATGCAACCCTGTTTATGAACTTATAAATTATCAATAACTATTGTATGTTTAAACCTCATGGCATTTCAGTGGTATTGAGGTGCAAATGGGTCGCTTTTCAGTTGAATGCAATTCGGTTAAATGCAATTCAGTCGATTGAAATCCTGTTCATGAAACATAGAAATCATGAATAACAATATTTTGTTGGACTGTGCCGTGGTTTAAGACACATTCAAAATGAATATGAGAAGGGATTTTATTTCATCAATAATATTTTTAAGAAGTAAATTTGTAATTCCATCATATCCTGAACCCTTCTTCGTATTTAGACTGGTTATAATATTTTTGATTTCAACCTTTACAACTGGTGAAAAAAAAGACTAGGTTTAGGAGCTGTAATTTTTTTTGAAAACTCAAAAGTTGACTTTGGGATAGTATTGGCAAGATTCGGTCTTATATATTTACAAACAAAAAGTTATTGAATACCTTAACCATGACTGGGGGTTATCGACTATACATATACTTCGGGGGATTGGTATCGTTTTTAGATTTCGAAGCTTCTTTAATCACCCTCCACGTACTCTATATATCGATTTAGTATTTTTCAAACTGGCGTGAGAAATACAATTGTTTAGCTAAATGTAGAGACGATGTAAGAACATTACAGCAACCAGTCTTATTTCTGCCATTCGGATTTGTTCTCTGTTTATAGAAGAGTTTATTTTTCCTATTGCAAGACCCAAGGATTTGCGATTGCTGAAGAGGTATGGAAAAATTGAAGTTAGATGTTAATAAATGAATCAAATTTTCATCCGAAATGTTTACGTCACGTTGATTGTAAACAGTTGACCAATCAACAAATCTCAATCTCTCCCTTAGGCTCTTTACATTTTTTTCTGAGATTACACAAATATAGAAGTATGCGAACGTTCAGAATTCTTTGTCATGAATGAAAATTTGAGAGCGTGAACGGTAAAATGGTCAGTAACATCAAATTAAACAATTAAACCAAAAGTGAATGGGGGAGATAGATTGTAAACACAAACATTGTCAATTAGTGTAGAAGTATAAACATCAGATATACGGGTGGGTTCCTCATGAGAGAAGTATAAGATGATCAACATCAAATTGAAGAAATCTTGACAATTTAAATTATTTGAGATTAAGGTCACCCATAATAATGCATATCTTTTTTTTTTAAGTATTTCCCTGATAACAGGGCGTGGACAGATTCAATAAATTCAATAGGGATCGAGTTCAGTGAACTTTGTTTTCAATGAATATATTTTGATGGCTTCTGACATATGGCTAAATTCATTTAACACCTCACAATTCAAGTTTTTGGTGACATAGAAACCAACTCCACCACCCCTTTTATTTGTCCAGTTACTAGTTATAAGTCTGTAACCATGAATATCTAATAGACTAGAAAGTGACTTTTCATTGAGACAGGTTTCACAAACACCTATGATTCCGTGATTATATTTTAAATCGTAAATGAGTAACTGGAGCTGATCATATATTTTGCTAAGACTCCTAATATTAAAAATTGTGTGGCAAAGAGTTGGTCTTGATTTGAATGGGGGTAGCGACGCAGTGCTACCGAGAGATCGTAGGCTGACGAATGGTCGATAACTAGTAAAAGGCATGTCCAGGTACGACGTGGTAAACCGCCACCGCCGCACAGTGTGTCCGGGAGGAACAAAAGTGCGCCAAAACTCCTTTTTGGTGATTTATTTTTTTCAATTTTTTTCTTGCCCTTTTGAAAGTTAATACATTGAGGAATCCCTCAGTAAAATATTTAATTCCGGTTAGCACAATAAGGGTATAAATTTACTCCTTCAAACAGCAAAGTCCTAAATATTTACAGTTTTAGTGCAAAAGTGACTTATTTTATAAATCTTTCAATTTAACATAAAGTTCTTAAGTTATTGATATGAAATTGCTTTCACATATTCCTGATAGTTCATTTTGTTGCATGTATGGGTTAAAATTAATAGAAACACAATCTTCATGATATGTAATAGGGTAATTCACTAAAAAATGGACTAATTATCCATGTTTTTTATAAATCCAGAGGAAATGTTTAGATCTCGCAGAGTTCCGCTTAAATTTTAATACCAATCTTGCCCGTTGTTATGTTAGAGCCGATTTCCCTTTTCCCATTGCCCCGAAAAAATGTGTGTTTTGGGGGTCCGCGGCTGAATCATTTTTGATTTGTTTTCAATGATATTTTATTTTCTCCATTGCTTTTCACAAACAGTAACAAAATCAATACATAAAATAATCAAAGGTTTGGCAGTAGAGACTCTGGAACTGTTAGGATCAGTTGGGTAGAACTTAGATAATGTCAATGCTAGGAGCCTCGACCAGTATTACATAATAAGGAGTGCTAGAATGACTGAAACAGTTGAGTTTTTGCACTAGATATGCTTTCTGAGATTCTCGTCATGAGACCAGAAAGTTCGTATAAGTGGTGCGGGTTGGCCAATAACGTGTTATGATTTCAATTTTTATATTCTGTATTATGCAAAAATAGTTTTAATCACATGGTTAATTTTGATTTGCATATTGGTAATTAGGCATCGGTATTAGGATCGGGAAACAGCCACGATGGGGACAAGGCATAGAGGGAATTAAATATGATTTTGTTGTAGTCTGAGTGTCGGGACGACACTCAATTAAGCAGGGGAGTGTGTAACAGGTCAAAATTGAACTGTTTTATAGTGAAAAATATTTATCTATTTCTAATCAATATCTCCTCAGGAAGTGAAGAACAAGAAAGTAAGAAGTTTATATGTTTACAAAATTTGTACTTCAAAGAAGTATGACTGACACATATTCCAAGTAGAAGCTATCAATTTGGCCAAAACATGACAT